GTCAAAGTCAACCTGGAAGGGTAAGACATCAGCCGTCGGCCGTGCTGGTGGAGCCGGGCAGCCATGGGACCCACACCCTTGCCTTGCCCGGGTGTCACCTGCCTTGCCTCACCTTGGCGGAGCGGGTGATGGAGGCAATCTCCGAGTAGAGGTCAGTGGTTTCTGGGAACTTCTCTACCACCATCTGGCAGAGATGGTGGAGCAGGGACTGCCGGTGCACTGTGTCCTTCACTTCCGAGACCTTCTCCAGGTAGCCCAGCTCAAAGCCTCTGCTCTGAAACCCCAAGGGACTCAGCAGGGCCTGTCCATCCCTCTTCCAGCAGACCCCCAGTCTGCAGACCCACTGACCCCCCAACCAGCCGCAGGCACCGTCCCAGGCTTCCCATGGTCCCTCTTGGGTACCCGTGTGCCGTGGCTGGTCCTGTCTTTGCTGCATCCCCCCAGAGCCTTGCTCCTCACCTGGGAGCCGTTCAAGAAGTTGCCCATGGCCAGCAGCGTGGCCAGGATGCACTTGAAGGTGTGATTTTTGGCCAGCTGCTCCATGCCCACCTTCAGATCAAAGAGCGGCTCTGCAATCTCCTGGGTGAGGAGAGAGGCAGGTGAGACCCCTCGCCCGTGAGGACAATCCCCTTGTGGTCAATCCAAGCCTGTCCCCAGCCAGGAGGGCACCTTGGACACAAGTGGTCCCCACCAGGGACACTCTTGGCTCAGCACTGCTGTGGCGGGCAGGAGGACACAGATGGGGCTCTGTACCTGCTCCAGGCTCTCGTAGTCCAGCTTGAAGGCCCAGAGCTGGAGCCTGGCCGTGAGGTCGCTGATGGAAGACAGGGCAAGCAGGAACTGCTCCGCAGAGCCCAAGGGCACGTCTGGGTTGGCCAACTGGGCCTCCTGGATCTTCTGCTTCTCCTCCTCGGTCGGGACCATGGTCAGGATTTTCTAGAGCAGGCAAAAAGGGATGTGTCAGACTCCAGACATGTCACCACAGGACGCGTCACCCCAGGGTTGGCAGCGCAGCATGGAGCCCTCCTGCACGAGGACCTCAGAGGGCCCCAGCTTCATCTCGTGCTCACCTCAATCCCCTCCTTATTGACTGCAAACTCATCAAAGTTGAGCACGGCCGTCTTGATGATGTGCATGGGCGGCAGCACCGTGAGGCCAATGTTGATGGCGTTGCTCCTCTTGGGGTCCAGCACCACCACCACCTTCTTCCCGTCGATGGCCTTCTGCAAAGGGGACAGAAACGATGGGAATGGGCAAGCAAAGGGATGCCTTCAGGAAAACACCACGGACTCGCAGAACCCTCCAGGGATCTGGTGGGCAAGTCAAACTTGTGTGCTGCCCATCACCCTCCCCACCGAGCTTCTGGGCTGCGGGTCCCATCCCCAGCATATTGTAAGGTCCCCAGCCATCCTCCCACCCCTCAGGTCCCCTTGGCTGATAGGCGCCAGCCCGCTGGTACCTTTGAAGTTGGCACTTCCTTTGACCTTGACTCAAAGAGATGCTCCAGTTTGGCTGCATTGACCTCAACGTTCTGCAGGGATGCCCACAGTGTCCCCTGGCCGAACCTGCCCGGCCCCACAGTGCCATCCAGCTGCTTCAGCTCCTTCCAGAAGAGCTTCACTGTCCTCTTCTTCTTGGCCTGGGAGGGGCCATCTGTTGCCACGGGGGCTGGCAG